GCACGCACGCACGCACGCACGCACGCACGCACGCACGCACGCACGCACACACACACACACACACACACACGTGTTTTGCATTTCTGTAGCCCAACCCTGACACTCGGTACATAACAGACCCTAATCTAAACTGAATTTAAACCTTAGTCCTAACCCAACCCCCGTTGGTGTTCCACCATGTTAGGACTGATCTTTGGTCCCCACGAGGACTCCTGTTCTGACAAGGTAGATGTTTATAACAAGAAAGGTCCTAAACGGTAAAAACCAGGTGCATATACACACACATAAAGACATTGGCATTCCCTTCTGCCTTTAGGCAGCAGGCGACATTTAGAGGTATTTAGGTGGGTTCACCCTCCTCTTTGCTACTTTACCTACTGAATGAGGTTTTCTTGTGTTGACTGAGAGACAAACTCCTGATGTAAAGTCAAAACAGCTTTCTCCATTAATTCTTATGAAAYGTTTCAGGGAGGGGTGGAGAGATAGAAGCAGAGCTCGTCCATGACACAACACCTCCTCCCTCCAGCAGTAGACACCTCCCTTCACACTCTTCCTCTCTTCCATAAGTCTGAGGTTAGATTACGCTCAGTCACACACTTCRGTCCAAACAACGGCAGGTTGCTGTCAGAGCGGAGCACAGCGCAGATGTGACTGCATTCTCCTGCCTGTTAATCATCTGCCTGCCACAGACTGTAACTCTCCTTTTGTAACAAACGTTAAGCTCTCTTCCTTTATCTGCTTCTAGCTCCTCTGGACCACCAGAATTAGACCAGATCAGGTCCAACAGTTTTCAGTGGCTGCAGGAATGAATTTCGATGAAATCCTCAGTGTCATTGGAGGCTTTGGGAAGTTTCAGAAGATCTTGTATGTGTGGATCTGTGTACCTCAGATCTTCCTGGCGTTCCACATGCTGGTGTCAGTGTTCACCGGGGCTGTTCCTCCACACCTGTGCCGCTCTTTGGGGCCCTTAGACGGCCTTCCGACCTACGTGAACTTCAGCCTTCTGACAGGCTCCAGTGGCCGTCCTGAACTTTCCTGCACTGCATCTCTGAACCACAGCGGTTCTGCAGCCCCTGAAGACGGGCACCCTGCTGTGAGCTGCCGAGAGGGCTGGGAGTACAGCAAGGAGACGTTCCAGAGCACCGTAGTATCTGAGGTGAGTGGAGATGCCATTAGCCTCTCTGAGGCCCGATCCACATCAGGAGCGCTTTTTGTGAATGCACTAAAGTTTGTTTTAAAGGCCTTTACCTCTCCGCAGAAAGAAGCTGAGTGATAAACCCGGGACTTACCGTAAATGATAGAAAAGCTGCACCTCTATAATAAATTACCATAAATGATAGAAAAGCTGCACCTCTATAATAAATTACCGTAAATGATAGAAAAGCTGCACCTCTATCATGAATTACAGTAAATGATAGAAAAGCTGCACCTCTATAATAAATTACCGTAAATGATAGAAAAGCTGCACCTCTATAATAAATTACCGTAAATGATAGAAAAGCTGCACCTCTATAATAAATTACTGTAATCGATAGAAAAGCTGCACCTCTATAATAAATTACTGTAATCGATAGAAAAGCTGCACATCTATAATAAATTACTGTAAAAGATAGAAAAGCTGCACATCTATAATGAATTACTGTAAATTATCTTTACAAGGTAAAAAGAGTTACAGTAAATTCATTGCCACCTAAAGTTAATTAGCATAAACTGTAGAAAACTGCACACATAAACATGTACTGAAATACTAAACTAACAGTCCTGCTGTCTTCCATTGTTGGGACTTGAAGCCAGCAGAGATGGCAGGAGCAGCCATGTTGTACTTTTGGAACCTGAGTCTGCAGCTGACAGTGAGGCTTTAAGCTCCGCCCACTCCCCTGGTGTTACATGACCRTTTTTAACAGCATGACAAATCTGATTACAGCTAACTTTGTTGTACAAACTGTATTGTGGGAACTACATTAAGTAACAGTCAACATCTGAAAATAATCTCTGAGGTGTTTTTTTTTTATATCACAATCAGTCCCTTTTGTTTACATGAAGGAGCAGGACCTAAACCCGTTCTGGCTGGGACCATGCTGAAGGAATGAGGTAACAGCTCAGGCCTCATCTTCTGTATGGAGTCTAGGAGATAAATAAATGCCCATGGCTGCCCAGCRTTAAATACATTTACAGTAAATGCTACTGTAAAATACTGAAAGTGCAGAAAAATAATATTTTTCCTTTGCTCAAATTTCACGACTGATCTGGGTCCAGATAAAGCTTTATTTGGATTTAGATGAGGCAGAGGTCTATAAAGTATACTTAAAATAAATAACTATGTAAAAGTAAAAATACCTCAACAGAAAATGACTATGGTAAAAGTTTATTTCACTGGTAAGAAAAGTATTTCAGTAAAAGTCATGAAATTGATCACAATATTCAGGAAAGTACAACACAAGTACACACTCATAAGTGTTACTGAACCAAACTGGTTCCATTAACCCGAGCTGAGTAAAATGAGCAATTTACACATTATCTTAAAGAAAATATGTAAATTGTTTTACTCAACTCAGTTTAGTGGAACCAGTTTGGTTCAGTAAAGTTCAACACTTCATTTCTTAGAGTGCGTGTAAAAATACTTTGACTTTTACTTTACCAATTATTATGAAT